TTTATTTTGAAAATCAAAACGTTTTACCAAAAACTGAAATATTTTACAAAAAGCAGGTGGGGTTTTGTGTGTGTGTGTGTGTGTGTGGGGGGGGGGGGGAAATAGGAAATTTCAAAAAGTGTTAATTTTTTGTGTGCAAATCATAATTGGCTTTTTTCAAACAGCTCTAGTTGTATCCCTGTGTCTGCTTATCTTTTTAGGCCTTGAACCTGCAACTGGCTTCATATGGACAGACCTTTGTATGCACATAGAGGCCCGGATATTCACCGGAGGCTGGGGGCGAGAGAAAAAGATATAAATAATGACACATCAGGCTATAATGGGGAAAGTTCTTCAGCTGCTTCTCACCCTCAGATTAGTAAGAAAGGGAGATGCCTCCCTCAAAGACCATATACAGTGTGCAGAAGCATCCAAAGGACAGGATAAGATCACAAGACACAATGCCAGTTGGAAAGCATTTTTTATTTTATCATGACAATATTTTTTCTGATTGTTTCCAGTTACTAAACATGGGTTTGATTTCAAAAACAGTAAAAAAAAAAAAAATTGTACTTAAAGATGCACTATTTTTTTTCTCTGCTAGGTTAATTTTAATGTATATACCACCCCTTCTGTATAATGCTTGTGTGCTGATATATCATCACTTTGCATATAGCCACCGTGCAATTCATGCAAGCTTACACAAAGTACAGCCTGCACCGTATAGGGAATTGGCTCTACTATGTTTGGTCAAGCCCTTCCTCTTCACCCATGTCAGGAAATAGAGAAATCGTGAATTCCATATCCGGTTGTGGGTTTCTTAAAAAGAAATCCCTGAACATGCTATGACATTTCTCTCAGAATCCAGACTGTTTCAAGGCATAAGTCACTAGAGTTAATTTTGAACAGTTTAAATGACATAGGGAAGGTCTCTGTGGCCCAGACCCTCAAAGGTACTTAGGCTCCTAACGTCCATTGAAATCAGTGGAATTTAGGAGCTTAAATACCTTTAAGGATCTGGACCTCTGCTCACATTTCAGACCAGTGAGGGAGTCAGCTTTCTCTTCACAAAAGATTGTTGCTGAACCCAGACCTTTTGACATCTTTCGTTTAGGCACCTGGAGACCTTAAATTCTAGGTCAAGGTGATTTTCCAGAATGAGTAGGGTGACCAACCATCCAGGATTGTCCTGGAATCTCCAGGAATTAAAGATTAATTTTTAATTTAAAGATTGTCATGTGATGGCACTTCTAGGAATACGTCCAACCTAAACGGGCAACCCTAAGAATGATGCCTCTAATTCAGCAACCTATGAGATCTGTTTTGCATGTAAAATGGCCCTTGCCTGCTAGAACTTCTGTATCTCTAGTAGGGCACATTTCATAGTCCATCTTATTACGTCACCATTTCTAACTGGCTACAATTGAGTCAGAATATAAGCATGAAGTCACTTCAAGCTGTGTTCAAGCATTGCACTTGCCCTAGGTATGCTGGGCTTTTTGCGGGGCAGGTCACGCCTGTTATTGGATTAAGAGTGGCAGTTTACTTAATGTTTTAATGTAGAGAAGTCTGTCTGCAATTTTGGGCATATATTTAGAGTCTAATTCTCATTTTCACAAGGAGCCCTTTAAGTGGGAGTAAATTATATTTATACTGACTTTAAGTTGCCAGAGTGATGCAAAGTGGCTCTAGCGTAATTGAGAATCAGATCCTTCATTTATAAATTAAACATAAGATTGCTTTGGGCAGATCCTCAGCCGGTGGAAATTGTCAGTGGAGCAACAACCATTTACCCCCTGCTGAAGCTATGTCCCCTTCACTTTCCAGGTGTAAGGGTGTCTGGTGGGCACCCATATAGAAAAAAAGCAAAGAGGATGTGTCTATATCCCAAACCATGCTCTTTCCCAAGCTAAATGTAGAAATTCTCTCTCCCCTTATAGCCCCTTTATCTGCCTTTTGCCTCCTGAATCCTGTAGGTGGAGGGCTTGAGCTAAGTCCATGTAAAACATACCCTTTTCCACCCCAAGTTTTGAAATGGTGAAGAAGAGGCGTATGGAAAAACACCATTGCTCGTAAATAACTTTTCCTCAGCAACTCCAGAAGATTAATGCATGATAACAACTGTTTTAAAATATTTTATTTATTAAAGGTTTAAAATAACATAAAATTAATATTAGCAATTTTGTGGCTGAGGTTCTTGTATTCTGTGACCTTAAACTTTGACATGGAGGGCTCAAAACATTACACTTTTGAATTAGAAACTTCATAAGTAACATTTATAACAGTAAATTGTCTCATAAGGAAAAGTGTATAGAAATATCAGTTATAACCATATAAACTTTGGGCAGTGGGACAATATTTTACTATAAAGGGGGTTCATTCTATTGTCAAGATTATGCTTAGTGATCAAGAAACAATATATAAGCAGTTTCATTTTCTATGGTACTCGTTGAAAAAAATATCACAATTTTTTTCTTTAGTAACTGAGAAACCAGGATAGTACCTTTTTAATTCTGTTAAATTACTCCTAATATGCACATTTTTATTTGCCCTTAAGTAAGTTTTTAATCACCTTCTTACCAAGGTGTAGCACCATTTAGCAAGATCATTACTGATACATTTGCCGGGAATGTACAATATATTATCTATTCTGCGCTAGAATACAAGGCCCAGTTGAACAACAAGTTCATCCTTGTTGTCTGCAGTAGAACTTCAGTGCAAGAGGAGCAACACCACGCTTTAAATCATGAAGCTGGAGTTTATTTAAAAACAAACAAATAGCCCCTCCACCCGCCTTTTCAAAGTTGCATAAGGATTCATGTACGATGACTGATTATTTAACAGTGCTGGTGGACTTTTTTTTTTTTTTTTAAACCTTGGGAAATTAGGAAGGGGGTTTTGACTTCATCTTAATTTGATGAAGAAAAGCACATAATAACTGGTTACAGCCTGGCCTTTCAAAAAGATCAGATAGTTGCAACATCTCTGGAAGTAGTGTGATGATTGGTGCTGAAAATGTATAAATATACATACAGATATGTACACTCACCCCCACACACAGAGGTGCACCAGGTCGCCTTGAAAACATCATGCAGCAGCAAAAGCTGACCAAAAGGGCCCCCAAGAAATGTGGCCTGGTTGTCAAGTTTTCCTGCAAATGTATTGAAAAACCTCATTTTTCAGCAAATTTTCTGGAAACAAATTGACTTGTCAGTCAAATGGCATATTCAGATTAATTGTGGTGATTTTTAGCAGGGGTATTTAGTTTAATTTAAAAAAGTATACAATTTGTTATTTGAAAGCTAACAGTTTGACAGACTTTCTATAACACAGAAATCATTTGACAATGAAACGATATTCAATGTTCCATAGCTTCTACATACCACTCAGCTTATAGCTATAGCCTGATGTGTGTGTATAATACTGACTAAAACAAGAGTACATCGGGTTCAGCGTATCGCAGGTTAGTTTCCCGAGTAACTATGACAACTCTCCAGCATTCTGTCACAATATAATGTGGTAACTGCATGGTAAGTCTACTGGGTACAAATGGTAACTGATCCTATCCTGTTTTGTGATGCTGGGGCAAATAAACTGTCATGATTGTAAAGTATGTGACCAGTTTTGTCTTCAAAGTTGCTTGTTCATAAAGGGCAATGGGGGAGCAAGGAAAATTCTAGGCTATTGCTGAGTCCCACCCATGGCAAAAGGAAACTAGATGTAGCTCTGATTGGTCAACAGCATTTCGTCTGTCAACAAGATGATACAGGAAAGTGCAGCCACTACTTTGCACAGGACTAAGCATGCTGCCTCAGCAAAAATCTCTAGCCCAACTGGCCTCCGCTCATAAAGATGCTATCAGCCCATTTCTGCAACCTTCCCTCTGGGTGAGTCATGTATACTTATGACTCAGCACTGGATGGAAATTTTTTTTATTAATAGTTTATTCAACAAAAGATGCAGCTTTGATCAACCCAAACCTATTCACAGATGTGACACCAATAATTTTGGCCATGGCAGGAAGAGAAGGTGATGGTGCTGCTGCTATTGCCACCCTCCCTTATGCTCTTTAGTCCAGTAGTTGGGGCACTCACATGGGATGTGGGAGATTGAGGTTTAAATCCCTGCTTTGGAAGGGACCCACGGTGGGGTTTTTTTTTCAATTCACCAAAAATTCCAAAAAATTTCACATTCTTTGACCCAAACCAATTTTTTTTCCAAAACTGCCACCAAACTGAAAAATTAGTTTTGCCCAGGAAGTGTAATGCCAATGAGCCAATAAGTGTGATTTCCTACAGGACCTCTTTAAAACTGCAACTTTTTAAAAAGATAAACTAAACTGGATTTGGCTTCATTTTGTCAAAAGGAGGGGGAGGGCAAAGGCAAAGCAAGCATCTGTTTCCTTTTTTTAGCAAGAACTTCCCCCGGCTTTGAGTTCACTGAGAAAGAGTGGCTGTATGTTGATGAGCACAGTGTTTGGAGACTATTGCAAAAGTCCCATAGACCGTTGGTGTGAGGTCGTAAAGATCTCAAGAGCCCAGGGAAATCACTGCAAGCCTGAGCTCAGTGAGAATTTCCACCAGGTTGTCAACATAAGCACCAGAACATCATGGCCAGAGATGTCCTTGATGAGACCTTTTTTGGTCCACAGAAAGATCTCAATCAGGAGATGATGTTCTGAGCCACGTGAAAGAGAGGATTAAAGATGTAAATTTTATCATACTTATGCTCAGGTTTAGAGGAATTAGCAACCTGGTCTTCCACTCAGGAAAGGCAACACAGGTCAGGGGCTATTTGCTGGAAATGCTGGAATTCCTCAGAGACAAGGATGAGGCTGAGAGGATGACAGGGCAGACAGTGAAAGCTCTCCAGAATACAGTTTGCTACTTGGAACGAGAAGAAGTGGATACAGTTGTGCATTTGCAATATCCCCAACCAGCTCTGCTGCTCTTCAAGGGTGAGAAAGAAAGGGCCCACTTTGCTCCTATGGTTGCATTTGGCAAAATACTAAGGTGCCTAGAAAAACTTAAAGTTGGTACCACCAGCCTCCTGAGTGAAAACTACTGCATCCTGATTCTCATGCAGATACAAGGGTCCTGACATGTTCAAGGCATGTGGGGAGACAGACTGGTTGGGGTGGGCATAGCATATGCGAATGACCAGTCACAAGTAGGTCTGGCCAAAGGAAGGGGATGGTGGGGATCAATATAACTCGAATCTGTGAAAATAGTGTGTGTGGTGTAGATCTTTCACATCAGATATGTTCAGAGCCCCACTGCTTTCAATGGAGCTCCATGTGAGCTGAAAGGTTTGCCCTGCTGCATCTGATTGTAGGATTGGGTCTGTTATGTGGGCAGGGTAAGAGTTAAGATTGCCATAGCTATTTGTTTCTTTCTTTTTAAATGCTTGGATTTTGTAAATGTGCTTGGTCAGTTCATTGGTGCTAATTTGCATCCTTAACGGGACTTTTTTTAGTGAAGTTTTTTGTTTTTCAGAATGACCCAGGTTTTGTTTATTTTTAACCTTTCATTTTCTCTTGTGTGCAGGTAAATGAAGATAGTGTTTTAAATCAGTGGGATGAATGTGCCACCTGCTTATTAAAATAAAGGAGTGAGTTGTGCAGGTCTAGCTAACAATGCATCCTGCAGAGACAGCCCTGCCTCCTTCCATGTGGACCTGACAACTTAGGCGCATTCACTAAGTAGCTATATTAGTGATGCATACAAGTACAGTGCACCTGACCTTCACTTCAAACACTGTTAAAGAGTCATAGCACATGACATGTCTGATCCAAGGCTAGAAAACCACATGTCCTGATTGCACAACCAGCAGCTAAGCCAGTAGGATGCAGTGCCTGCTTGACACCTCACTGAACCTCTGTGTCTGTCTTACTCCACCTGAAAAAACGTGGCTAACAAAGTTTTGCATTTACAAAGCACTTTTTCATCCTAAGACCTCAACACACCTTACAAAGGTGGTTAAGCATTAGTAGCCCATTTTACACTTGACATAAGTACAGAGACTTGAAGCAATCTGTAGGAGAGGTACTGTGGTCTAGTGAGAAGACGTGGTTTTACCATTTCAGAGAGCTGGGGGAGGAGCGTCTACATTCTGGGATCCACCAAAAGCCTCCTTTGGCAACTTGTTTAAACTCTGTTACTCTCATTTGGAAAATGGTCCTGTAGAGGATGCGGAAGGAGAGGTAACTTGACTCGTTCTTTTCACTTTTTAAAAGAAAAATATTGCTTGTGGCCACGATTTTCCCCCCTCTGTTGCCTTCACTGTCAGAAGCAGGTATAATTTTGAAATAATGGCCACTTCATAGACATTTGACTATTCTTGGCCTTGAAAACTGCTTCTTGTATCACATTTTGTGATGCAATGTTACTTGCTTGGGCAGGCAGAAGGCACAAAGTTGGACAGATTGGAAACTTGCAAACATTTTAAAAAGGAGTAATTTTAAAGTCTTTTAATCTTAACAAATGCTCACTCAATTCACTAAATGTAAAGAAAATGTTCCAGTTGTCAATGAGACTTAATAATTTAAAAACTGAAAGCTTAATAAGGTATCTTTTATTTATTTTTTATACAAAAATCAGACTTTCAATGGGACCCTAATTGCAACTCCTTGTCCGCCTTCTAAGCTGCAGCAAGCTGATAGAGCAATATGTCTTACATATATCATGTGCAATCCCTCTGCAACAGAAGTCAATGAAAAATGCCTATTGGCATCCATGAAAACAGAAATGGGCCTATTACTCAGACTGACATCAATGGGAGCAAGATCAGGACGCATGATCCACAACAAAACACTGTTACTAACTTTGCTTAATGACACTTTCTTCAACAAAGTGGGTGCAGGAATTTTCAGGGGAATTTAACTACACCTCTACCCCAATATAACGCAACCTGATATAACACGAATTTGGATAGAACGCGGTAAAGCAGCGCTCCAGGGGGGCGGGGCTCTGCGCTCCAGTGGATCAAAGCAAGTTCAATATAACACGGTTTCACCTATAACGCGGTAAGATTTTTTGGCTCTCGAGGACAGCGTTATGTTGAGGTAGAGGTGTATATGGAAAGTTTGAAAGGGGAGTAACAAGGTGTTTTTCAGCTAGACAAAAATGTTAGCCAAAAATCAGAATTTCATGGTGATTTTTTTAAATGACTGATTCAAAAACACCTTTATTAATTTTCTTCAAGGTTTGCACAAGCATTCTCCTTCAATGTTGAGAGTAAATATAACTACTCTCAGGCCACACAAATTTTCCAAGCAAGAGCTATAGAGGTGATAAAAGAGGGCTTTTTAATGGAAGACAAATTATAAAGAGATTAATGCCTCTCCATAGTAAAGTCACTTGTGTGTGTGTTCATGCTGATAAAAAACGTACACGGCTTCTGTATATCTCATCAATCAGGGCTTGAAAGTATCAGTCCTTGGGAACCTGAGATAGAGATCTAAACCACATTCATCAGCCTTCCACAGTTTACTTTTCCTTACTTCCTTTAGGTTTGAGTGACATAAAAAATGTGGTTTCACAATCTAAGAAGGTATTTGGCCCTGTTGGTTTCATTGAGCTAGAATTTGTGAATTGCATTTAAGAAAACCTCTCACTGATTTATTTCTTTGATATTTTCTTGTCTTATCATATTCCTTTCCTAATTTCTATGACTTTAAAATCTGCAACTGTTAAGGAGGGAGGTAGGGATGAGAGTGTTTAGCTCTTAGACTTTGGATGGAAAGATGGCAGCTTTGGTTAATCCATCCTCTTGCACACCAGAATCTAGACAAAAGACCCAGAATAACCCATGCCTAAAGCTTCAGTTATGGCTTTAAAATTAGCATGGTCCTATGGAAGAAAGATCGTCACATATTAAAGCATTAGTAAAAAGATAATTGTGATCATAGTAACAGGGCACATTGACTGCAGGCAGCTGTTGGTTGTGGTGGATTCCCTGCTACTTTCAAGCCCAGATGCCCATAGATGCTGTTTAAAGGAGAGGAAGGTCCTTTTGGCTGCTGACTGGCTATTTCAGTGCCTGAGGGTACTTGATGCTCTGAAATAGGAAAGGAACTTATAGCAAAGGCTCACAACGAAGTACCAGATGTTGCGAGCCATCTGCGACCGTGCAATGAAAATGCGCCAGATGATCACAAGGAGGGTGGTGTTGAATGCATACTGGATGTTCCTTAGCCTGACAAATAAAAGAGAAGGACATTAAGAAAAATTACTTAAAACAATACTGAGATGCAGCCTTAACATTTTTGGATCAAACTTAAAGAGGAATTTCTGCATTGCAGAACACTTTTAAAGTGATCTTATTTATAAAGTGGAATGATGTGGCCCTCCTGCCTTTTCTGTTTATTAGCAAGGATATTGGTGCCTAAACAGGTGTCTCCTTTGTGTCCCAAAGCTGTTGCCTCCTACATGACCATGCATTGAAATTATAATGCAGTGATGTGATAGATTCAGCTACACCAGCATGCCCCAGATGTCTTTGATTCCATGCATTCTGATTTCAGACCAGAACTGAGACTGAATTAACATTGACAGTCAATTGCCTAGGGATGGACTAAGAGATGTCCTATTGTCCATGTTTTACGCTGGTGTGTCAGCAACTTTTAATAACGTTGACAATGAAGTTTTGGCGACTGGCTTATGGAATGTTTGCAGGGATTGACAAAATGCCCCTTCAGTGGGTTTGTTCCTCCCTTGCTGCAACATCTCAGACAGGTAATGTCGGGCAATGATTCATCCTCCCCAATGGTCCACTTTCAGGGTCTCGCAGGGTTCTGTTTTTTTCCACCACCCCTGTTCATTGTGCATGTCAAGCCATTTGGGGAAACTGTGAGAGGATTTAGGCTAAAATGTCATTATTATGCTGATTATATTAATCTCTGTGTCTACCTTTTGTCAAACACAGATTCTACAATTCTACACATTCCTTACTTTCCCAGTGTCTGGCCAAGATGAGTATCCGGACAAAAGCAAACTAGCTGTGACCTAGCCTGGTCAAGATTGCTTAGTCTTTTGTGTGTGCGCGTTATTTTGCTATTTTGGCTGGTACTGGTAGTGATGGAGTTTATGCTATCCATTTGGGTTACTATGTAGCTTATATGTTCCTGATTTATTATAGAAGCACTTAGAAACTAGGAATATAAATCTTTAAAAATTACTCAAACTTATGATTCATTTGTGACATCCCAGCAATGGCAACAGCCTGTCTTACACTTGTAGTTTCACAGCAGCAAGTGTTTTCCAGAGTGAAAAGTGCTGTTCCTTGAAAGGCATAACACTGGTCCTCCAGCAGAAGTGCCTCTGTCCCCCTTTGCATGTTCTTTGGCACTTCCGAGTATTTGGTCTGGAGGAGATGAGCAGGGCTTATACTTTTTTTAATTTGAAAAAAGGAACCCAAGATCTTTAATTTAGAAAGTTTTAGAACCAGGGCTGGCTCTCGCGTTTTTGCCACCCCAAGCAGAGAGAGGGGAAAAAAAAAAAAAAAGCTGCGATCACAAGCAGCGGCAGCTCTACCACCGCTTCATTCTAGGGCGGCAATTCGGCGGCAGGTCCTTCGCTCCGAGAGGGAGTGATGGCCCCGCCGCCGAATGGCTGGATGTGCCGAACGGCCGGACGTGCCGCCCCCCCTCTTCATTGGCCGCCCCAGGCACCTGCTTGCTAGGCTGGTGCCTGGAGCCAGCCCTGTTTAGAACTTGATAGGTTCTAGTTCCAAAATACCGAATCCAACTTTGAAGCCTCTATTTTATTTGGGAATGGGAGACAGGGAGTGAGGGTAAAATCTCCCCAATCTCCAGTACAAGTGTATTTCTAGATTCTGTTTTAAAGTTTTACACAACCCCTGGAAATTGTCAGGAGTTTTACACAACCCCTGGAAAGGAGTTTCCCTAAATCCAAAGCTGCTCCTCACCCCTTTATTTTTTCCTGTCCTGAATGAACCTTTGGATCTTCTGCAGCAACAGATCTGTAACCCCTCTCTGCCACTTTGCGGGCGGGGTGGGGGTGGGGGGGGAGATTGACTAATAACTCACTGGTGAGGAGGATTGACTGCTTCCATGATAGTATAATGTGCTGCTGCTGGACTATGGGGCCAGCCCAAACCCCTTTTTCTTCACAAGATGGGCAAGGAAATATTAGGCCAGATCCTCAGCTGATGTAAATAGTGAGTTATGCCATTTTTATCTCACATGAGATCATTCTCAACTTGACACAGGTATGATTCATCTGTCCTCGTCCCAGGAATTGTATCATTCATTAAAATGGAAACCCTTGCCTTAAAAACCCTTATATACAGCTACCCAAGGCAGCTGGGGGGCTGTTGCCACAGTTGACCACGTATGGCTTACTTTCGTAAGTGCTGCTTTGCAGCAGGAATCCCAGACATATCCTCATTCAGCAAATATTTCTTCGCTCCTATGCAGTAATTTTCAATGTATTCCGACCAATGCAGCTGACGCACATCAAAGTTGAATAACTGGAATTAAAGAAAAGGAAAGTTAATTAAATGCAACATTTGGATTTGCAGTAAGAGTAAAGCTGTACAACTTCATGCTGTGATCTTGAACTGAGCTCCACTCGGAACAAAGCCTAAAAATTTCCAAACCACAAGATTCAATGAAGAAATGTGCAATGAAAAAATGACAGAGTCCTATGGCACCTTATAGACTAACAGAAGTTTTGGAGCATAAGCCTTCGTGGGTGAACACCCACTTCATCAAACATGTGTCTGACGAAGTGGGTATTCACCCACGGAAGCTTATGCGCCAGTACTTCTGTTAGTCTATAAAGTGCCACAGGACTCTTTGTCGCTTCTTACAGATCCAGACTAACACGGCTACCCCTTTGATACAATGAAAAAATGTTACTCCAAGGCCTGGTCCACACTAACCCCCCTCTTCGGACAAAGGTACGCAAATTCAGCTACGTTAATAACGTAGCTGAATTCGAAGTACCTTAGTCCGAACTTACCGCGGGTCCAGACGCGGCAGGCAGGCTCCCCCGTCGATGCCGCGTACTCCTCTCGCTGAGCTGGAGTACCGGCGTCGACGGCAAGCACTTCCAGGATCGATCCGGGATCGATTTATCGCGTCTAGACAAGACACGATAAATCGATCCCAGAAGATTGATCGCTTACATCCGGACCAGAAAGTAAGTATAGACGTACCCCAACTCTATCATACTACTCTTCATTAGTCACCTGACTCTGCTTTCAACTCACAACCCTCCGACTTTAAAAAACTAGTTATTTCCTGCCAACTGTCTTGCATGCAGTTATCTGTATATGTAGAGTCACACACACAAAAAAAATACCACCTTGCTCGAACAGAGACTGCATATTGAGAATACATCAAAACAAGTCCCTGTTCACTGGTGTCATACTGGGATTATATTTTTAGTGAAAATAAATGGACCAGACACTGAATCAACAGGTCCCCCTGTGTCAGTAATTCAGCTAGGCAGAGCTATGTTCTCTCTTGGCATCTGTGGCTCCAGAAATCCAAGAAATTGATTATTCAGTTGTTTGACATCATTTGTCTGATTGCCTTGCTAAAGACATTTAGTTTCATAGATCAAGATTTTAAATGGAAAAGGTGTCAGCAATGCTCTCAGGGGATTATAGGTCTAACAGAGCAAAGAAACAGCTTAAACAAAAAAAAATGAAGAGGAAGTGCTTTCTTTGCAGAGAGAACTGTTAACTGTGAAGCAGGGTTTTATGAATCAATAACAAGATGGCTGATGTGACGCCACAGAAGTATTTTCAAGGAAGATATGCAGAAAAGAACTCTTCACTCTCAAGCCCACCCAACCCTTTCAGCTTGGTGCGAGAGCACTGGCATCAGCAGGGCTGTGAGCTAGAAGAGAATTCTGGGTATGGCCACAGAAAACAGGAAGGTTACTTAGCTATACCTGGAATTTGCTGCCTCTCTAGATCCACAGTGTAGGGGTTCCATGACTTGTGAGGCTTTGTACCACATCTCTACACTGGGGATCTGCATGAGTATTTCACAAGGGACTAGACCAATTTTATTTGATCACTGAGTCCCCATCTCTCCACAAGTATATGATACAGCCCCACAGGTACGTTGAAACTCATCCTAGATCTGCTCATTGTATTCCTTCAGCCCTGTTGCTTATCTTTTCATCACTGCCCCACTCATGTACAGAAGTACTTAAAACCAGCAAAGAGTACATTCGATTTTGACATCCTTCAGTTATTGCTCTACGGCTGCTCAAATCTAACAAGAACTTGTTCACACTGTGTGTTTTCTCTGGCTAAGATACTATACTATTTTCTAAAATATTGTACTTACAGCCCTGTCCATCTCCCAATGACATCAATGGAAAGAAGAGGTTACTGTCCTGTAACTGGAGGTTATTCAAGATATGTGGTCCCTATTTGTATTCCAAACGTGTGCCATGCGCCGGATCCGAAAGATTTTTGTAGCAGTGTCCATTGACCGGCACATGCGTCATGAGTCGCCTTGCATCTCAGGCGAGGTTATATTCGGTCATGCGGGTCAATGCCTCTTCAGTCACTCTCTTACCGCTGAGTAGATCAGTCCGCAGCAAAGGGGACGGAAGACAGGTATTTGACTACAAATAGGGACCACACATCTTGAAGAACCTCCAGTTACAGGCAGAGGTGACGTGTGGGTGGGAGGCACAAAGGGTCATGTGTCCAGGGGTGGCTCCATGCACCAGCGGACCAAGCGCATGCTTGGGGCGGCCTGCCAGTCACTGTGGGGGCGGCAGTCAGGGAGCCTTCAGCGGCATGCTTGCAGGAGGTCCGCCGGTCCCGCGGCTTTGGCAGCAATTCGGCGGCAGGTATGCCGAAGCCACGGGACCGGAAGACCTCCCGCAGGCATGCCGCCAAATCCACGTTACCAGCCGGACCTCCCGCAGGTGCGCTGCCGAAAGCTGCCTGACTGCCGTGCTTGGGGCGGCAAAATACATAGAGCCGCCCCTG